AAAAAAAAAAAAAAAAACACTTAAAATCCACAGTGATAACAGGCCACATCTAAAGTAATGGAATGTGAAGACAAGCATTACCGAAAACAGATAAAGCTTAGCTTCCATAGTACCAGGGAGTACTATACAAGCTGCCAAGGGAGAGAAGCAATTAATAGTCCCACCCAGGTGTGACACCTATGACCAGCATGGCAAATATCTGGAAATGTGGAACTGCAATGTAGATTGCTGAATTTGCATAAACATTTTCAGATAAAATAATTTGTTTTTCAAAAAGATGCAACAAAAGTGAAATCTGTGTTATTATAGATTCCCTATTGTCCTTTTGAAAAAGCATCTGAGTGGAGAGCAACTTTTTACTTTGGGGATGGTTTGTTTTTTGTTTGGGGGATTTGGGAGTGGGATTTGGTGCTGCTTGTTGTCATTGTTGTGGTTGTTTTGAGCTGGCCTGAAACTCATGGTATAGATCAGGCTGGCCTCAAACTCAAGAGATCTGTCGGCCCTCCCTCCCTAGAACTGGGATTAAAGGTGTGAAGCACCAAGCCAGGACCAAAGTAAACTTTTTTTTTGCAAGAGTCCAAATCCACTTTTATTTGTTTACACTTCATTAGTTTCAATCCAGGAGAGATACTGCATCACATGGACTCTGTCCAGTGTCCCTTGCAGTAAGGTGGCTTTGGAATTTAGCATGAACCATGCCACTATTTCCATGGGCCCAAGTTATCTTCCCCCAGATTATTCTGGTTCTGTCAGGTTTGCCTAAGGGAGTCACTGTGTTGGTTTTGCTTTATACACATAAGCACATCTCTTATAGAGTTCAGTTTCAACTCTGGCATAAACACCTCCAACTTTAGGAAGAGCCATGTACTCTAGTTGCAGAGACCTTGCTTATACCAGCAAAAAACGGCCTTGTACCTCAGCCTTCCAGGCATATTTACCTTTCAGTCATCTTGTTTCTAGCAGGCTTCTATGGGTGCCAAGATCACAATTTTTCATAATGAAGGAAAATGCATTTCAGCTCACAGCTTTGGAGGTTGCGGTCCATAGTCAATTGCTCCACTGTTTTGGCCCTGTGGTGAGTCCAAACGTAACAGTGGGGAGAGCATAGTGGAACAAAACTGGTCATCACAGGGTACCTAGGAAGCAAAAAGTGATAGAAAGGGACTGGGGGCAAAATAAACCCATCAAGGACAGGAACCTAGTTCCTCTAATGCAGCAGTTTTCAACCTGTGGGTCTCAAGCCCTTTGGAGTTCAAACAACCCTTTCACAAGGGTCACCTAAGACCATCATAAAAACAGATATTTCCATTACGATTTCTAACAGTAGCAAAATTACAGTTGTGAAGTAGCAACAAAGATAATTTTATAGTTGAGGGTCACCACAACATGAAGAACTATATTAAAGGGTCGCAGTATTAGGAAGGTTGAAAACCCACTGCTCTAACAATACTCTAGCCCCTAAAGTTTCCACTGCCTTCCATCAACAGCCCATGCAGCTATGAATCCAATAATCCATTGGTGAAATTAGAACCATCAGGATCCAATTACTTCCCAAAAGCTCCCACATCTCAACACCACCACACCGTGTACCAAGTCCTCAATACATGAGCTTTGAGAGGACATTTCACATCTGAGCCATGTGTCACACTAACCTTTTTAGTATCCATTAACTTAGTTAGGTCCCAGTAAGCTTAGATATATGATTTGATGTGGTTCATTGAGCCAGGAAATCTAAAGTCACAGATGAATGATGCCTGCATTGTGGGATGCAGATCTGAAGTCAGAAAACAGATTGCATGTTGACTTTGCTTCTTTTTCTTCTCTGTGTGGCCTTAGACCATGCTTAACTACTCTGGGCTTCCCTACCCTATGAAGGTAGATATCCAGACCTTAGGCCAGCAAGAGAAATAAATGATACCTGAACACAATGATAAAATCTAAGCTCATAGTGAAAGTACAAGGGAGAGGAACTTATATAGCCAGGCCAGGCATGAGAGCCATGGACAGATTGGGTAGAATATACAGGCTCCTCACTGAAAAACCAAGCTCTGGGCCTAAGCCAATGTCTTAAGCAGAAATCTTACTTCCTGCACCCTATCCCCAAGTTCCCAGGACCACAAGATATTTAGAGATTCCGTGCTCTCCATGTAAAGCACATGAAGGTGAACCAACAAACCTACAAATTCAATGTGAAAAGACAGGTGGGCATGCCAGGTGTCAGTCTGCATCCTCTGCTCATCTAAACCTGGAAAAAGAGCCCCCTTGAAACATCTTTCCTCAATTCTGCCGAGTTCAACTTGACCTTGACATCAAAAATTGGTTTTAAAAACCTTAGGTCCAAGACATCTACAAGGCAGAGCCTGGCTCATGGCTGTGTCAAGCTTTGTCACAGATCTGGACACAGCAGTTATTTTAAGATAAACAGGCCCAGAGTTCCCATCTGCACTGCCTGAGGCAATCCATTTTGGGCTCTGAGCATTTAGAAGATCCCACAGTTTCTGCTCACAGCTCTAGGGCCAGCTCTCAATGGCCTGGTTGCCAAGTGGCCCTTCCTTGCCTTCTTCCTGGAACCAGAGCCTACACTAATGTGAGAGAAGGCAAAAGTCTGCCAGGTCCACATACCAATAGGATTCCAATAGGACCTCCTCCCTTTCCTTTGCCAATGACTGATAAGAACCACACCCCAACAGACATCATTATCCTCGCTGGTATGTCCTGCAGGAAATAAGTAGACAAGATTTCCTGTGAAGGAGACCTGGACACAGAAAACCCAAACAAGACTCCAGTCTGAGCCCAAGGAACCTCTTCTGTTGTTGAGATGTAATAAGGTGTTTGTATGAAATCTCTCCAAAGGAATCCTGAAATTTGCAGGAAAATGGATGGAACTAGAAGAAACCATTCTGAGCGAGGTAACCCAATCACAAAAAGACAAACATGGTATGTACTCACTCATATGTGGATTTTAGACATAGAGTAAAGGATTACCAGCCTACAATCCACACTGTCAGAGAGGCTAGTAAACAAGGTGGACCCTAAAAGAGACATACATGGTCCCCTGGAGAAGGGGAGAGGGTCAAGATCTCCTGAGCAAATTGAGAGCACGGGAAGAAGGGGAAAGGAGCTAGAAGAATAAGAAGGGGAGAAGAGGGATGCAGAGGACATGAGGGAGCAGGAAGGTTGAGTCAGGGGAAGAATAGAAGATAACAAGCATGGAGATACCATAATAGAAGGAGACATTTTAGGGTTACAGAAAAATCAGGCACTAGGAAAATGTCTGGAGATCTACAAAGATGACACCAGCTAACTAAGCAACAGAGGAGAGGCTACCTTAAATGCCCTCTCCTGATAATGCGATTGATGACCCATTTATATGCCACCTGATAGCCCTCATCCAGCAGCTGGTAGAAGTAGAAGCAGATATCCACAACTAATAACTGAACTGAACTGAAATCCAGATGCAGAGAAGGAGGAGTGATGAGCAAAGGCTGGTGAAACCCACAGAAACAGCTGACCTGAACATCAGGGAACTCTTGCTCCCCAGGCTGATAGCTGGGATACCAGCATGGAGCTGATCCAGACCCCAGGAACATGGATTTCAGTGAGGAAACCTCGGAAATCTATGAGACCTCCTGTAGTTGTTCAGTACTTATTCCTAGCACAGGTGTGGAT